CAGATCTTCTCTGTCCTTTGATTGGTTAGTTTACCCTGCACTTTACCCTCTATTTATATAAAAAAGTCTGATATTCAGTAGTTGCTGGCATAGCTCAGCTGGGAGAGCGGGTGACTCTCACTCCAGAGGATCCAAGTTCCAGTCCGGGCAAGGAAAATACAGTAGATGTCATGTTAATTTTTCTTAATTTCAGGTATTTTACAGTTGTGACCGTTCAACTGTCATTAAACGTCCGAATGTTTGCTGGGCAGTGTTTTAAAAAGTGCACATAAGCTAGATGGTTTTAACCATATAAAATTACATTTTTTGTGATACTGGAAAAATACATACTGAAATAAAACTACTGGTTGAAAACTTTATGACTGTGATTGTACAATATATGACTCACTAATACACTGCAAACTCCCTTAGAGTGGGGCTGAGAGAGAGAGAGAGAGAGAGAGAGAGAGAGAGAGAGAGAGAGAGAGAGAGAGAGAGAGAGAGAGAGAGAGAGAGAGAGAGAGAGAGAGAGAGAGAGAGAGAGAGAGAGAGAGAGAGAGAGAGAGAGAGAGAGAGAGAGAGAGAGAGAGAGAGAGAGAGAGAGAGAGAGAGAGAGAAGTTCTTGCCTCATTAATGTATTGTTTATTTTTTTCAGCATTTAATTGACAAATTATCCTTTCAAATAATTAATTGATGAGTTATATAATTGTCCATTTAGAATTGTTGAATGGACTGAGTAAAGTTTGGTGCACTTTATATATTTCAAAACATGTTTTTTTTAATGATGCATATAAATAATTTAAATGTTAATTTAATGAAATATTTCTATTTTTTCATTACCTCACCCTTGTTTTGACAAAAACAGAACCTTGCTGGATAATATCACGGAGAAACTATTTGTTCACAGTACTTGGCTCAGTGAGGATCTGTGTAAAGGAGGAGATGCTCAGAAATCTGTCTGCAGATTGTTACAACCCAGACTGGAAGTGGTGGCTGTAATAAGAAAGGAGACCAAACAGAGGAGCGGGGGTTCAACAACTGATTTATTTAACAAAAGTAAGGATTTACTAAAGCAAGTTAGTGAACAGAAAATGGCCAGTGAGGACTCTCCACCACACAGGAGAGACCCAGTGAAAGCAGAAAAACAGTAGGCTTTGTAGGCAGCACCACACCCTGAGCCCAGGTGCCTCCAAGGCTGCTTAACGAGCTGCCTACAACAGAAGAAAAACACAATTAAACACAAATGAAAACCCAATGAGACGGTGGGGGCATCACAACACGTTCAGGACTACCCAAACACCAGTAATTCTTGACTGCACTGATCTGCTTTAGTAAATCCTTACTTTGGTTAAATAAATCAGTTGTTGAACCCCCACTCCTCTGTTTGGTCTCCTTTCTTATTACAGCCCACCACTTCCATTCTGGGTTGTAACAATCTGCAGACAGATTTCTGAGTATCTCCTCCTTTGGTATACAGATCCTCACTGAGCCAAGTACTGTGAACAAATAGTTTCTCCGTGATATTATCCACCAAGGTCTTGTTTTTGTCAAAACAAGGGTGAGGTAATGAAAAAATAGAAATATTTCAATAAATTAACATTAAAATTATTTATATGCATAATAAAAAAAACATGTTTTGAAATATATAAAGTGCACCAAACTTGACTCAGTCCATTCAACAATTCTAAATGGACAATTATGTAACTCATCAATTAATTATTTGAAATGATAAGTTGTCAATTAAATGCTGAAAAAAATAAACAATACATTAATGAGGCAAGAACTTTTTAAACTTGAACATACCTACACCCACAAGTCTATTTTTACCTGGTTAAAACCATCTAGCTTATGTGCACTTTTTAAAACACTGCCCAGCAAACATTCGGACATTTAATGACAGTTGAACGGTCACAACTGTAAAATAATATCACAGGAATTAGGAAAGAATAATATGACATCATCTCTATGTTACTTGACCGGACTCAAACCTGGATCCTCCAGGGTGAGAGTCACCCGCTCTCCCAGCTGAGCTATGCCAGCAACTGCTAAATACCAGATTTTTTTATATAGATAGCTAGAGAGTAAAGTGCGGGGTAAACTAACCAATCAGAGGATAGGGAAGATCTGCCACAGGCCACGCCTCCAGAGTGCCAAAACTCCTCACAGCCGAGCGAGCGGAATTAGGAACCGAGCGCGCAGAGGCTGCCGAGCGCGCACGTTTTCCTCTGCCGTGTGCTCGTTGGCAACGCGCGCACGCAGGTTTGTCACTTGTGCACATCCTTGTGCGCTCACAGACACAGTTTGCTCCCTCTCAGTGCACAAATGACCTCTTGCCATGTATATTTTCGCTCGCGAGTCCCGTTCACGCACGCGCTGTGGACCCAATGCGCGTGCACGGGTTGTGGCACGGGTCTGATGCGATACAAGTCTGACAATAAGTCCAATGGAAAGCAATGCCGACATTAGTTAAAGGTAATGTTAAAAAGGGCTTGTGAAAAAACGTTAGCCCTTGCTAATCCATGTACTTCTTTTGTAATCTGCATTTCTTGTGTTAATAGTTGGCACTGTCTGATAGAGAACATGAAAAGAAAGGGTCAGATACAGGCGGGAATTCTGCAGTTTTTTCCCAAGAGAGTGTGTCAGCTGGTGAAAACGAGCATGGAGAAATCAGAGAGAGAGCAGCAGGAGGCAGTAGACCAGAGGCTGGAACAGGGCAAGGGACCTCCATTCCCCCTTTATCAGGTCAGAAAGAATATAATCTTTATTGTGCAACAGTCATGTCAGATAAACACGAGAGACAGCCTCTTGTAGGACATACCATGCTGGGAAATCAGCGTACGTGTAATATAAACGCGCCGTGGCGGCATGGTGTTGCGGGAATTTTGTGGCATTCGTGCTGCCACGGTTGATACTAATATCACCGCAACGCCGGACTTGTGAATGCATATTACAACTTGGCGCAACAGAAGGGGGTATCATGATCACGTGGGCAGTTACTGCCGAGCTCCGGCCGGCAACTATATTGAAAATGAAAGTAAACATGGGCCGTAAGTTTGGCTTTTCTAAACAGAATCAGCTGAGATGATGGCCGGGGAGCCTCTCCGTAAGAGTTGAAGCTCAGATCACCAGAGACTGCACGGGGACAGACACCTTCTGGAGCGGCTTGTTAAAAAAGCTTAATGAGTGTGGCTTTGATCGCAATAAAAAGCAAGTTATGTCCAAGATAAACTGAAGTCCGTGGCAGCGCAGAGACCGCCCCCAAGCTCCCTTTTCACCGCCATCGCATAATCTTTTGTAAAAAGATCATGATTGCACCACATTATCCAGCAGGACGGACTGACCACTTATAAACGACCTAATGCTGCCCAGTGTGTTCTGCTTATAATTGAGGATAACCTTTTCCCATTTTATCTTGGAGCTGATCCAGTTAATGTGGAGTCATTTTCTTGCACAGAAAATTTGCATTGAGCTTTTTATATTTATCAGTAATAATTGGGTCAGTTATTCCAAGCACCAAAAATAAAGGATTATTGTTTAAATTGATAGAAGTTGTTAATCATGACAAATCATTAGTGGCAAAGTTGCTTCCCTTTAGTAAATGATTTTACGTTTCTCAAAGCATCTTTCCATTCATCATCAGTAATGTTGCAGTTAAGTTTCCTTTCCCACAATTCCTTCAAGGTTTCCCTAAATTGTGACATTTTGATGTATTGTAAAATGTGTGGGAAAAGTCCTTGTTTGAAACACCGAATTTTCTAATTGGTTGATTAAGTAAGGTCAAGGTTAAGTTTTCTAAAGAGATTTTGTGTTTTGGATATTCCTTTGTTAGTCCAACTTTTCCTGCCATTATTCTAGGTAAAAAAAAAAAATCACCATTATCTCAAATTTGTTAAATGATGTTATCTTGTACTAATGGCACATATGTTTACTGAATTCTTCCGCTTCATGGTGATGTGATTTACTATAACATTAACATAATGGATTTAAATTGTATTGGTTTCTTTGTCTACATTTACCACATCTCATCTTTATAGTCCAATCTTTCAAGTCTTCAATTTCAAATAAATAAAAATGTGGTCTCATAGAAAACAAATTTTTGGCTGGATTTAGCTGGAGTTTGACATATATTTGTATTTTAGCTGCAAACTTGGACAAGACTCTCTCCAATTCAGACAACCAGAGTGAAGTTAATGACTCAACCTTCCATCCTGCTGGGCCACCAGAGTCACCAATCAATGCTAATCCTGCAGAATCAAATGGTAAACATTGATCTTTGAAAGTAATAAATGCTTGTGTATGTATTTGGCTTATGTTAGATAATTTCTCATTTGCTGTTTTCAGACATCTTCCAGTGTGATGCACAGAATCCTGCGCAGACATCAGAACGGTGTTCTGTTCCAGTAGGACCTGGTGGTGTGCTTCTCATTTTGTAAAGGCTCTTTAAATTTAATTGAATTTTGCAGTCAGTCACTTGCAGATTCTGAATGCCATGAATGTTAAAGGTTGAGAGATATAAGCAACTGACTCAGACTTATTTAATTGACTTCCCACCAGACATTTCCCAGTCAAGAGCAGAGGGTCCTGTGATATTCTTCTGGTGTTTTTTCCACACACAAACATATTTTAACCTGATATTTGTGGCTTTGTAAAATAAATTGAATGCTAAAATTTCTCAAATGCTGTGTGTGGTTGTATTTTGTCAATGTACAGTAAAAATTGATGTACAATTGCATTGATGTTTTTCAACATGGTGTTGGGGTAAACTGTATCTACCATACAAAACTGGGAATAGTATGCAAGTATGTTGGACTGTACGTGGCCCCTCTATAAATATTGTGGCCCCTTGATGGCCCCACCCTCAGAAAAATCCTAGATCCGCCACTGGTTTTGTGGGTTTTTAGGGCTTTCTAATCCTTAGAAAGGGGCTACTCGCAGTTTCCTGGTTCCATTGAGAGAGGGGCAGGAGTCAAATAGTTGTCTCCACCCACCTCTAAACGTTTAACCCCGCCCACATTTAGCCCCGCCCCGATCTCCGGGATGCAGCCAGGGGCTACTCGACGGCTCCATAGACTGTACATATACGGACGGCTCCCGTGGAAACCCGGGGTCACCCTTTCAGAAACCTCAAGTTGATAAACAGCGCCCTCTGCTGTCCAAATGTATTAGCACGCTAACTCAATTAGCATTAGCGCTAGCATCACTTCCATTTTGTTTAGCTTTGCAAAGCTAACAGTGGGCAGAGATGGGCGACGGTGACGAGCCGGGCTTAGTCCTTTCTCACAGCACCTCTTCGAGCTCCAAGTCGGGTGGCGACAAGATGTTTTCCCTGAAGAAGTGGAATGCGGTGGCTATGTGGAGCTGGGACGTTGAGTGCGACACTTGTGCCATTTGTCGGGTTCAAGTGATGGGTGAGTATGAGGACAACAGGTGAAGCTAATCTGGCTATACAACTAAAAGCCTGTAACGGGGTTTTCTTGTTTTGCAGACGCATGTCTCCGATGTCAGGCGGAAAATAAACAAGAGGACTGTGTTGGTAAGACACGTCATGTGTTTATTGTTTAGGGCGAAACACAAACAGTTAACAAGTCACCCAACTAGCGTTAGCTAAATAATATATCTGAAACCAAACAAACCTGCCTGCTAAAGCAGTGAGGTATGGCTATATGGTCTGACCATATACATGCTAAAATGTTTGAATGCACGTTTTTAAAATCCATTTTAAAATGACATGTTTATGTGAGGTGCAGGACCAAAGCAGAACATGTACACGTTTATATGGGAGCTACAGCATTATTAACTATATTAAAACATTTGTATGTTGTTGCAGAATCTTATTAATACTACAAGCACTTCACTGCAGCGTGCAGACACACCTATTTCTAACATCAGACTAATGGAACACACATTACTGCTGCACAAACATGATCATCTGCCACTTTCACTGAGAAAGATGTCCAAGAGAGGCTGTTTATAAAAAAAGCTTTAGGTGTCCCATGTTTAGCATAAATACAAATGCCCTTTGTAGAACATAACGCTGTTTTAGTCACTTGTGTGTTTTCTTTCTCTCAGTTGTGTGGGGAGAGTGCAACCATTCCTTTCATAACTGCTGCATGTCGCTTTGGGTGAAGCAGAACAACCGCTGTCCGCTCTGTCAGCAGGACTGGGTGGTTCAGAGAATCGGCAAATGAGCTTCACATCTATGTGGACTGTACATTTGTGCACCCAAAGGTGGTGAGAGGAAATTATCAATGATCCCAGCTACGTCCTGTGCTGTCCTCTTCCTTCTGGTTGCATGTTTCCTGGTGTCAAAGGAGGAAAACGGACATGGTTAAAGTTGCACAGATTGGTCGCTGAAGGGATCTGGAGCCGAGAAGAGACAAGTGAAATGTATTTAAGTGTCACCTGTTAGCTTTGTGTAGTTTTTGGCACATCTTAAATGTGTGGTTTCTTTATAAAAAATAAATGGTTTGTGAAATAGATGTGACTATGTATTGGTGTTGGAAATGATGATGCATGTAGTACTACTATACTTGTACTTTAAGTGGGTCTGCAGGGATAGGTGAGATCATCACCAGTGATGACATGGAGCACCAAAAATTAAGCCCTAAATCTACATTTTCTTACATTAAGTCTTACATTTATTCAGATCTGTAAAACACACCCAAATGTTTATTTCAACATCAAAGATGATCTGAGTTAAATACAAATAACTGTTTTAAAATGACGCTTAATTTTATGATGGAAATTTTCATGATGTATGAGTAACCAGATGTTCTTAAATAACATTTTTTAAATACAAAAATGCTGTATAGCGCATAAGCGGCAAATAACATTGGTGCAAGTGCATAACCTTGTTACCATGACTACCATGAATCTGTGGTCGCATGTACAACCACCTTGAGGTTAACCTCGTCAAGATACAAAATTACAGGAAATAATTTAAACAATGTCAGATTTTCCATCAAACCTATTGTTCCTTGAAAAAATATGTTAGGGGGCTGAAATTATTTTAATATTAAAGGTGCAGTATGTAAGAATATAGTAAGACCTAAAGAGTCTAATGTTTCAGTCTTTTTGGAAGGAAGATTATACTGAAACATATTTCGTATCCAGCTGGCTGTGGGAATTGTCAGTTTTTCTTCTTCCAAAACAAAGGAAGGAAGGACATACCTACTGTTTAAGAATAAGTGAGTGTGGGATTGTGTCTCTTGCGAGCTAATACTGCAGCGCCCACAATTGTAGTTTGACGACTGCTGGCAAAAAGCTCCAGAGTTGTTTAATGTGGTTGCAGTAACCAAATTTAACCACAGGAAGTAATTTTTACTTCATTTAAACATAATGCACCTTTAAGTATTTTCCCTGGTGATAGAGGGCAGTACATACCTAACATCAAATAGTTATTTAAAGGCACAACACTGGGTTCATGTTTACATCTACCAGCCAATAAAGGGCACCATTACTGGTTGCCAAACAGCTGGCACTGTGGAAAATGGCAGACTCCCCATGTCAAGCAGCTGCTTCTGAGCTTAGAAGATGTAGATAATAGGCTAACGTTGAATACAGTTGTAAAATAAAATTATTAGTAGAAATTAGTCCTTGTTCTTTTTGTCCTCTTGGGAAATTTACAGGGAACACTATTACCAGGGTAACATGAGGCTAATGACTGGACGGCTGCTTCAACCTTCTGTAACTTGAAGGGCAAATAAACAAAAATCATTTTAAATTGAAAACAGGATTTTTCTTTACTAGCAGAAGAAGTTAGATCCAAATTAACCAACGACCGTTATAGCTGGTTAGAAAAGATCATAGCTAGATAAGCCTGTGGCTTGATGCATCTCCATAGGCTTTCAGCCATTTTTAAACACACACACACACACACTTTAGAAGAAATGTACTTACAAAAATTAAACAATAATGAACAAGAGTCTGCTTCTAGACCTGCAGAAAGAGAGAAGGAAAAAAAAACAAAAAAATAAAAATGGGACAACAATACAACAAGATCCAGTTATCACTGCGTCAACTTGATGAAGAAATGAATATTCATCATTGTTTAACTGAACAATCACACGATAATAAATCACAGTGCATTAAGTGCCCACCATGGCCTTAAGACATGTGTTGAACGTGCCCAAGTCCATACTTATGAGAGCACCAGGTGAGCACCTGTGTGTGTACACGCACTTGTTTATGTAAGGTTTCTCTATAGGAGCATCCAATAGAGAGTGTGAGGGGCCACAGATCTGCCCCCTAAATATATGCAGGAGACAGAGGGAGCTCCAAGTCCCAGAGATCCAGGAGCTGCCCCAGAGCACAGGAACTCCAGGGAGGCTGCGACCAGAAAAGCCCCCGCTCCCCTCGAGAGACGCAGAGGATCGCCCCGGGGGGCCACAACCAGCAGCCGGCAGAGTCCCGGGAGGTATCGGCGGCAAGCCCACAGGCCCGCCCGCAGCCTTCCACCCCCTAGCCAGCCGAGCCCGGGACCCAGGGGCGACCACCCCCGCCGGGGACCCAGGGACCCAGACCCCACCAGGCAGCCACTGGGATTGGTCAGGCAGATGCCAAAAATCTTAAACCCCCTGACCCAGGAGCCACGACCCAGGCAGACCAAGGCACCATACTCCACACCAAGTGTGGCAGGGAGAGGGGAGACGAAGATCTATATAATCAAAAGAAGTCCCAGGAGAAGGGAGGAGTCAAAGGCCCCACCTGACATATACAGTCATACACAAACACAGTCACACACTCCCTCCCTCATGCTCACACATACACATACAACCAAATACGTACAAAAATGCACGCCGGACACCCACTCATGCTCCCCATACACACCCTATTCACTCTGGTCCCGGTACTGCTGCACATGGGGTACAACCATTACCGGTTCCAAGAGATCGACCCTTTCTGCTGGGGTGCTGATGAGCAGGCTCCCCCGCCTAATGCTGAGCACAGCAACCCACCACCCCAGACCCCAACCGGACGGCCAGATCTCCCTCCTAGCCTCCAGCCCCAGGAAGCCAATATGGTGTTAGTGAGTGTTGATGAGGTGTATTCCATGGCCTATGCCACCACACCACCCCACTTGCACCCACAGCCCTCAGTTTAAAATTGGAAGTGGGCACCGGCACCTGGGATGAGGCTGAGAAAAACCCCTGCCAAATGCTGTTGGATGTGCTCACTCCCAAGGCCCTAAGTGTGTGTTTGCGTGGAATGTCGTTGGTGGAAGTGTTCAAGGTGCAGCTAAAATTGGGGGGCAGGTTGCCACAGGAATGCGGAAATGGGGTCCATACCCACACTCCCTGACTTGTCCACCCCCCCACCCCCTCCCCACCCCCCAAGGTCCTATGTGCATGTTTGTGTGATGATGTGAGGGAGCAGGAGGAGAGAAATGTGTGGGGATGGGGAGGAATGGCTGGTTGGGCTTAGCCCTCCAGAAAGCCAGCTCCCCCACTGGCCCCAATAGGTACCTCTGTTGTCAAAATGCCACCCAGAGCATGGAGACCCCAGCCCATCCTGCCAGGGCCCAAAGCAGCAGCAGCACAGACCCTCACGGAGTCCGAGGGCACCAACCCAGCCCCACCCCAGCAGAATATCTTCGCCCATCCCTGCATTTGCACAACTTCCGGACTATAAAAAACAGGACATCCAGGTAAGGTTGGGTCCTCCCCCTCCTGGACTTCCCCCTCCCCTGTGATGGGACAGCAGAGGAGCCAAGGTCTACACGAGGCCCCTGAACCCGAGTCAGGCACTGCTGCATGTTCCTGCCTTCTCCCCAGCAGCATACATGTCAGGACCCGACCCCCAAGGCCCCGCCCAGATCCCCCCACGGGGCTGGCCACCCCCAGGCCCCCACCCAGACTCGCCGAGGGGCAATGCAGCTGCCGGGAAGTGACCCATGGCCACCGCCAAGACCTTCAAGGGTTCCCACTCACAACCGCCAGTAGTCCACCCCCCGAGGCAACCCAAGCACCTCCAGAGGGGGGCAACGGCCCTCCAGTCCCAGACACCCCCCAGTGAACTCACCTCCAGGGAACATCCAGATACTCCAAACTCTGACCCTCCACCCCCTCACCCACATCATCCTGCAGGACAATATCAATGGTCCCCCATCATCGCTATGTGATGGAACCGATCAAAGGAGCCCAGAGAGATTGATTTGAAGTGGAAGCAGAGGCTATATCAAGTTAAAGTTGATATAGCCTCTATTGATATACTGGTCAATGCAAAGGGTATCTCTATTTTTCCAATTCAAGAGGATAGTTTTCTTAGCGATGCATATGGCAGTCAGAGCCGCGTGAGCCAAAGATGTTTCAATCAGGACATCGTCCAGGTTTCCCAGTAAACAAAGAGAGGGGGCAGTTGGGATATGACATTTCAGACACTTTGACAGGTCTTCACATACTCTACCCCAAAATTCCTGGACAGGACCACAGTGCATGAATGTAATTGTCAGGAATGTTGTTTATGCAGTGTGTGCAGGTGTCAGACGACACAAACCCCATCTTGAACATCCAATGACCTGTATAGTGTACTCTGTGTAGAATTTTGTACTGAATTAATTGTAAATTGGAGTGTCTGATCATTTTAAAAGTTTTTAAACAAGTTTGGGACCAGAAGTTCTGGTCAAAGCTAACTGATAGATCCACCTCCCATTTTTCAATAGGGATTGCTATTCTATCGTCTATTTTGGACAGTGTCTTATATACTTTAGACAGTAGTTTGGGGGGTTTGAGATTATAGAAGTCTAATACCCTTGGTGGTGTTTGTAATTTTATTTTATTGAGCTTAATTTTTTGTTTGACTACAGATTTAATTTGGTAGTATTCTAAAAAGCCATTCTTATCTATTCCAAATTGGGAGACTATTCTATTAAATGGGATGAAGTACAATCCTTCATATATGTGTTCCAGGTATAGGATTCCTTTATTTTTCCAGTCCGGAAGGTTCATCATTTTATCATTTTGCAAACTATCCATAAATCACTGTTAAAGAAAGGGTCTGCCAACTTATCAGGTTGCAGAAACCATTCAAATTCTGCACATATGCACTTTGTGTCTCCTCAGAATAGACTGGTCTAAATCCTCTTAGGTTCAAACCACGTTAAGTTGCTTTCCCCACAAACGTGCAAAGGCACTTAGCTACTAACAAATCCCCAAGGCTCAGTCAGCACCGTGGAAGAGATGAGGAGTGTCCAGGATGTGGGTGCAAGAGGCGCTCACTTCTGCAGCTCAAAGGGTGAATTCAGGTTTTCTTAGTGCATTGGCTGCCTACCAGTTTACCACCAGATCCATCCATTATGGTTGACCTGGTGGGGCTGGACAGCTTGGTGGCTAACACAGCGTATCTGAGGGCTCAGCAGAGCAATCGCACTGAGCTGAGAATGCACAGAGTGTCCCTGACACTGCCTAAGCTGAAGAAGTCCTCCCCTCCATGGGAAGCAGTGGAGAAGACGTACGAGTCGCTGTGTGAGCAACAGCCGATTGGGAGAAGGCTGTTCCAGCAGTTTCTGCTGGCGTCTGGCCCGCAGTCTGTGGCTGCCGCTAAGTTCCTGGAGGAGCTGAGCGACTGGAGCTTCGCTGAGGATGTCACCAAAGAAATAGCCAAGCAGAGAATCCTCTCCAAGTTTTGCCAACCCCAGTCTCAGACCTTCCTCTCCTACCTGACAGGAGAGAACATTGAAAGATGCAAGGCTTTATCAGACAAAAACTTCGATGAAGCAGCCATGGAGCGGCTAGGGGAAGCAACAACGGAATTCTTGAAAGGAAAACCTTTTTTGGAATACCTCAAAAGCCCGCACTTTTACAGGTTTTTGCAGTGGAAGGAGTGTGAGAAGCAAAAGATAACTGACAAGTATTTTTATGAATTTAGGACTTTGGGAAGGGGGGGCTTTGGTGAGGTAGGTACCAAAAACCCCTTTGCAAGCGCGTACAAATCTTATCCTGAGATAGTTTTGAATGCCGCACAACTTTTCTAAACTCCGTAGTAATACTGGCCTCTGTGGCAGGTGTGTGCGGTCCAAGTGAAACACACAGGCCACATGTATGCCTGCAAGAAGCTGGAAAAGAAGCGGCTGAAGAAGAAAAGTGGCGAGAGGCTGGCCCTACTGGAGAAGCAGATCCTGGAAAAGGTCAACAGCCTCTTCATTGTGAACCTGGCCTACGCTTATGAAAGCAAGACCCACCTGTGTCTGGTCATGAACCTGATGTCTGGGGGGGACCTCAGGTTTCATATCTATGAGTTAGGGAAGAGAGGTATTCGAATGGAGCGCGTGGTTTACTACACAGCACAAATATTAACCGGCATCTGCCACCTGCATGCCATGGACATCGTGTACCGTGACATGAAGCCTGAGAACGTCCTGCTGGATGGGAGAGGCCAGTGTCGACTGTCAGACCTCGGACTGGCTGTGGAGCTACCAAATGGGAAAACCATCTGCCAAAGAGTTCGTAAAGTGACCCACAATGTCACTGTCAGACATTTTTCATGACAATGCTTGTTTCAAACCTCCATGGATTGTTTCCTCCTTTAATGCCTATACTGTGTTGGCTTGCCATAGAAGTAGCTTACCAGGAATAGATCTAATGGCTCCTGTAGCAGCGAGTGCTGAGAGCATGACCTTGTGAAACCCAAAGCAATCCCATTAAAAGGTGCCTGACCTTTTACTCAGCTGGTCATTGCACTGACTGAGAAATGTATCATAGAGAGACCAGATTGTGAGCATTCGCTGACTAATCTTTACCAGATGCAGATGTGGCTTTTACCTGACTTGTCAATAGAAAAGGGTCAGGTGATTTGCTGATGAATAAGAACTGATGTTGCATAAAGGTGACTATTTGGGATTTCTCTGCGCTGCAGGCTGGTACGACCGGCTACATGGCTCCGGAGCTCCTGAGGCAGCAGTACTACCGGACCTCTGTGGACTGGTGGGCTCTGGGCTGCAGCATCTATGAGATGGTCGCTGCTCGACTGCCCTTTAAAGACTTCAGGGAGAAGGTGCAGAGCGCTGAGGTGACTCGTCGCACGCTGGAAGACGAGTGCAGGTTTGAAGACAAACGCTTTGATCCTCCAACAAAGGATATTATTATCCACCTGCTCAAGAAGAAGGCCGCGCATCGCCTTGGGTGTCGGTAAGAAAACGGGTTTCTGATTTATTTTTGTTTTCTTCCTGCATTGAATAAAATAACATTTCATCGTATTTGGCTGAAGATACATTTTAATAATATCTGTAATGCAGTATAATCTATGTTTAATCATGTTCTTTCATTTTTTTATCATGTTTAAAATGTGAGAGTTTAATAGTTATGTTGTAGTAGTTAAGGATGTCATTTCTAAGTTATCTGATTCTTTAGTTTGAACATTTATAATTTTGTGTGTCTACTATCTTCATGTTTTAAAAGTTGCACAATTTAAATTCCCTTTAACCATTCTCTGATTTTTGGCGATAGTCTGTTTAGAAGTTACGTTTCACAGAGAACTTGGTTTGGGATAGACGAGCTTCCCTAAAGTGGCAGGGAAAGAATAGATAGGTGATTTATATTTGCTGTCACCGCTATGCTCTCAATCCTGCTAAAAGTTTTTAATTACACACATTTTTCAACAGAAAGGGGGATGATGTACGAAACCACCCTTTCTTCAAAAATATCAACTTCCTCCGACTGGAGGCAGGGCTGGTAGAGCCGCCCTGGGTGCCAAAGCCTGACGTGGTCTACGCCAAGGACATCGATGAGCTTCGGGACCACTCAGAGGTCAAGTACATCCAACTTGACACCAAAGATGAGAAATTCTTCAAGGAGTTCAGCACGGGCGCTGTCTCCACCCAGTGGCAGAGGGAAATGATCGACAGCGGGGTGTTTGATGAGCTTAGTGACGCTGAACTGAATGGACACGAGAATGTGTGGAAGTCCAAGATGTGCATCATTTTGTAAGCAACATCTGTCCAGAATTTGCAGCTGGAAGTTTTAATACTTGAAAAGTTCATTTATATCATCATTCTAAGTGCCATCTGCTAAATGAAGCAGCTTTTTGTTCTCGCCTTTATTTCTGAACCTCAGCTTTTACCTGACAGATGACAAACAGGCCAATTAGAAGTTAATGCTGGACATTAAGCTAAGTAAAATCCAAAGTTTTGGACTCCATACTGAAACTCGGCTCCTCGCTTTCTGTTTAGATTGTAGTTCCCAGTGGATTTGTAGTTTCCTTGACATCACTCAGCCATCTTGGCAGACCATTGTTTACATATGTTTGTAGACAAGCTGCATAATGGTTTTGCCTCGGTGACTTCCAGCTGTTTTAATATCAAAGCTCGCAGTAATAACACTTCATATTCTATGATGAGTGATGCATCATTCAAATACCACTGGAGCCTTTATTTGCTTACTGGAAAGAGTTGGATCACACGCAGAAACTTACACACGTTCACCACTAGATGCCACCAAACACCAACAAAGTGCATTCATCCTCATCGCCCCTGTTGAGAAGGTATTTACAAGCATTTAGTCCTTCAATTAGTCATCAACCATAAATCCTAGGGAAAAACTATCTCTCTCTCTCTCTCTCTCTCTCTTACACACACACACATAAACACGCATACACACCAGTTTTATCCAGAATAAACACCCAAACGCCCCCTGACACAGATTGTTTATGTTTGCATTCTTGTTTAGTTTTCACAAGCTGCTACCTCATAGATATTTAGATTTCCTTTACCGAAGTAAAAAACTCAGTCAGCAGCAGATTTATGCTTGTTGTTTGTTAACGTCACTGAATTTCCTTTCAGACTGAACCACACCAGCCTGTCAGGTGCTTGATACAGCTGAATTCTTACTAATAGTTTGTAAAAGTTTTCCAACTAGTGCCATCACGATCACAGTTTGTTAACTATTGTAAATAAACATGTGCAGATGTCTGTAGTATCATCCTACTTGAGCACAATGTTCATAATTGTTAGCTACCGTTCCATTTCAAAGCCAGTTTTGATGGGTTAAGGTTTCAGTTCAAGATTCTGTTCTACCTAAGCTTTAATTGTCTGATATAGTAGATGTCATGGTGGATTCAATGATATGAGCTGGTCAGGTCCTGATGCAGCAAAGTATCCCCAAACCATGACATTTACACCTCCGTGCTTCACAGCTGTCTTGAGTTGCTTTTCCTGGGATGCAGCCATGGTTTACACAGACACTTTATCTGTTCTGATGTCCAAGTTATGCAAACACGAATGTTTAAAGAACGCTAATCCGGAAGTCCTGGTTTTTGCAAACTTTTGTCCAACCTTGATGTTTCAAAGGTTTCCTCTTAGCGCGTTTTCCATGAAAGGTAAAGTAGTGGTGTTTCTTTCCGATTGTAGAGGGCATGCATTTTCAGATCAACGGTAGCAGGAGGATGCAGTAGGTCAAAGTGAAAATGTTTAGGGCTTTAGAAGACTTTTTTTTAGCATCGTACAGTCAGCTCTCTTTTAGTGCTCAGGGTTTGTTTACTTGGAGCTCCTCAGTGCCATTCTACCATTAGGACATATATTTACATACATGGAGGTGGGAACACAACTGTTACAGATTTGGGTATTTCTCAGCATTTATGTAATCAGTCAGGTCAAATCTGAAAAAGTTTTCTTTATTACTGAGTTTTATAAACAATGAGAATGCACATTAACTCAAGTCATTATGACCTTCTTTTTTTGCCAACCGTGTTTCTGCTCTTGACTGCTCATGCTTCTAATTTAGCTTTAAAAGAGTATAGTCCTGCACTTTATTCTCTAACTCTGTGTTTATCCTACTTCTATTCATTTTTCTGCATCACTTCTTGTCATTTCTCTAAATAACGACAACTAAACACTCACAGCTACTGACAGAGAAAGTTCTGAAACTTAATTTTATCTTCTACATGTAATAGTTAGATGGACAGGAGGGCTGGAGGAGCCAGATGAGATTGGTGCGTAACTCAAATTAGATATGTTACCATTCAGTATTCACCACAGACTTTATAAATTAAGTTTTTCTTAAGCAATATTGCATTTTATGCATTTTTTATTTTACACACAGTCAGTGCCAAACATTATTCTGTAATAATACTTTGTATTGTTAATGTGACTCGTAGTGAGGCATTCTTGAATGGATTGCAATTTTTGTCAAATTTTCTTAATTAAATATGAATAAAGATGAATTTTCCAAAGTATGGTTGAAGCAAATCAATTGTTTTTGCTTAAAGGGTTTTTGCTGCCAGCAAAAGAGCCATTGCAATAAAAATGACAGGGTTAGCATCTTGATGCTGCTCATTAAAACTCTGATCTATCTCTTTTTGACTATAGAGTTTCAGTCTGAAATGCAGCTTACATGTCTTTAAAACACACCCGCCAAATATTAGAACTACATAACAACGTGACAATTTCTAAATCACAGTTTTGAACGTGTCACTCACAGCACTGCTTCAAAACCTCAGACACACTTAGGTAATGAGGGACACATAAACATGTGTTGTGCTAATTCCTGTGAGGGGGTGACCTTACAGAACTGAGAAGTGGTTCCTTTCACGCTCGACAGTCATGAGATTAGAGGGTGGTTCAGAGGGAAATCCAAGATGCAACCTGATCATCGTTGGCTGTGCAGGCAGAGTGGGGAGTCTGCCGCTGCAGACTACGTGACGACAAGACAGACTCAGCAGAAGGTCTCCAGGAACATGGGTTTTTTTCAGGTGCGGACAAGCCGCTGTCAGTGTTTGGTTCCCCGACACCAGACTCTGTAATGCACCAGCACCAACAACTCACAACACACACTCACTCAATCCCATTACCTCTGCAGAAGCAGGCATGGGGTTGTAGAGATCAAAGCAGGGTAGGGTGTAATTTGGTATCTACGTTTGTTACATGCTAATGCTCTGAATTCACATCAAAGGCAAATGCCACGCTTCACTTCTGCCATGGCATCCTCAGGATGGCATCACACCACCATGGCTGCCGCTTCTCTTCTTTAGCAACAGTGTGTGTGTGTGTGTGTGTGTGTGTGTGTGTGTGTGTGTGTGTGTGTGTGTATGTGTGTATTTTTGACTTCATGCGTATCTGTGTGTTTCTGAAGTTGTCAACACAAAATCAAACTACACCAGTGTCTGTGTGCTTGTGCGTGTGAGTTTTGGAACATTTGCATTGCAGTGTACAGCAGAAAAACAAGTTCCAGCCCTGGAGGAATAAATAAGGGAACATGGTTTTCCTCAAGGCCAGCGTGAGGTTTTTAATTTTTTAGATTTACAGTTTGTTTTTCCGTGGCCGAACTTTCCGCTCTGGTGATTTTCACGCCACTTCATGTCACAAAGATTGTTGACAAATTGCAGCTGAGTCTATCGTTGGCTCCGCTGCGTCGTGCTGAGCTACCGGAGAAACGTTGCTTCTCAGGAAGTTGTTGGTTCACATTCAATTTCCTAAGCTTCATTGCTGGAATTCTTAACATTTCCACAAATAATTGAGCTTCTGTTTGTTGGTCCAACAGAAACAGAGCATGTGTGTGCATGAAATTCTCCCCCGCTGAGGCCCAATGGGCAGTTTCCATGGTGCTCAAACCTCAGACCTCCTTCCCTTGCCAGGGTTAGAAAACATTATGGACACACTCTGAATCAACAGAAACACACTTGTCCTTTCACACTTTTATTTGATCACATTCCTGCCATGTTTAATCTCAGACTTAGAGCAAAAAAGTATTCATTTTTATCATTTAGAAAATTGTTAATGCTGGGTTGGAACAATTGATAGAATTTTCAAATGAATGCCGGCAGAAACTGACTTAAAAATGTTTATTAGAGCAGAAAAGTAAAACAAGCAACAACTACCCATTTTAACACACAAGTGTACACTGTAATATCCAGTTGATGATAATAAAAAAAAAGCTTGATTTTTTTAAAGCCGACTGTTTTCTTCTAATTCACCATTAGCATTGTTAGCTCAAAGTTAGCGTCTAGTCTTTTTTACCCAATATTAGAGTAAAACAAAAACATGCCGTGGCTTCTTCGAGGTACTAGACATAACTTCTCTGTTGCTCCTGTTTACTGGCTTAAGCCAGCCATACACTGTATGACTTTTTCACTTTCTTGAGCCGATATCCCCCTCGTGCAAGATCTGGGCGAATTTTACGAAAGGCGATTAACACCACCTTGACCAACTACCGATCAGCAATCGCAAGCTTGCACGAATTTCTGGCGTGTTTGATATTTTGCTCATCCCTTGTGAGGGTATTGCTCTGTTAAAGTGGCGCTGTGAGCAGCTGCGACCCAAAAAGCACCAGAACTGTTCACGGCGTATGCGCAAACATGTGTCAACATGGCTCGCTAGCTATTTGTCATGAACTCCTCCTCCTCCTGACCTCCTCTGCGGGTCAGGCTGACGGGGCACTCCATTTCCCAGCATTCCCCTCACTGACGCTCTCGGTGACATCACCCCGCGGAAGTTATATAAGGAACTGTCACCGCTGAGCTGTCATTCAGTCATCATCTCATGACAGACGCCAAACCGAACCGATCCAAATCTAACCCAAAACCAATCCAGGAAAGTGATCTTTCCACGCTGTCTAATCCCCACCACGACAGCACACTACCAAATGGAACCGCAGTGCAGCCTCATTGTCTCATGTGTGCTGTACTGCCGTCCTTAGAGCAAGCTGCGTGTTCTGTTCAGACCAAACGCCAGCCTCGCCGCGTCTGGGTCACATAGCCACGCTAAATTACCTCCGCTACACTCCAGTTCAGCACACCGAACCTGACAGGATGACTGAATCCAAAGTTGACCCAGCGGAGGTGGCACAGCTGCGTGCAGAGGTAGCACAGCTGCGCAGCCGATTGGAACGCCAGGAGGTGGAAAATAACCAACTACGTGCTGTGGTGGACCGCCAAGCGTCCAAACTTGACTCAATCACCGAGCTGATCATCCAGCTCTCCACGTCAGTCCAACGCCAGACATCTGCCGCTCGTGGCAGCGAGGAGCCCAATCTGAGCTTCCCAGACAAATGGGACGGGACTAAGGGCTCACCAGAGAGCATGCTGGCTGTTCTAGCCATGACATTCGAGTGTCAGCCAGCACGCTACCCAACGTCCTGCTCACGTGTCGCCATGTTAACCTCCCTGCTGATGGGGCGAGCCGGTGAATGGGCGGCGGCTTTGTATAATCAGAAGTCTCCCATCTGTAATGACTATGAGGTCTTCGTGAAGGAGATGAAGAAGGCTTTCATTCATCCCAGCAGCGAGATCTCGGATGAGACTCGTCTGCTCCAACTCCGCCAGGGCTCCCAGACCGTGGCTGATTACACGTCACGCTTCAGGACGACAGCTGCCCATTTGACCTGGGGCGATGAGGCCAAGAAGGCCGTTTACCTGGAGGGGCTGTCCCCTCGTATCCGTGAGGGCATGATCGGACACGAGGTCCCGACCTCCCTGGACCAGGCGGTGGACCTTGCTCTCCAGCTGGATCGCTGCATCCTTACCCGACCGAGCAGCAGGCCGGTTCTTCCTCACACCAGAGCGTTTCCCCGTCGTCTGGAGAGCCAACCCACGGAGGAACCTATGCAGTTGGGACATCTGTCCCCCGAGGAACGGGTGCGGCGGTACCAGGAAGGACGATGTGCCTATTGTGGGGATCTGGACCACACCCGTTTAACGTGTCCCCGACGACCGGGAAATGGTTCCTCCGGGTCGGTGTAGGAGCTGTTCCACCCGGAGTTACCACTCATCCAGCTCCACATCACACCACCCTTCCGGTCTCACTCCAGTTGGACCAAGGACCGGTTTCACTGGTGGCTCTCCTCGATACCGGCGCCGCTGAGTGCTTTATCGACCAGGGATTGGTTACCCGGCTCCACATACCACTCACCCATCTCGACCACCCTATTCCTGTTACCTCAGTGGATGGTCGTCCGCTAATGCCGTACCCACTCACTCACCGCATCCAGACTCTCCGCATGACCATTAACGAACACGTGGAGAACCTCCACTTCCTGGTCATCCAAGCCCCAACGACCCCTCTCATCCTGGGTCACTCCTGGTTCCGCTGCCATGACCCTCACATCTCCTGGTCTACCAGTAGAGTCACGGCTTGGGGTGCCAACTGCCGAATCCATTGTACATCTCCAGGATCACAGTCTAGGGCGACACCACCCAAAGATGTGGATTTGAAGCTGGTTCCTCCCCAATACCATGACCTCGCCCGGGTCTTTGCAAATGAACCTACCACCAAACTGCCCCCTCATCAACCTAATGATTTGGAGATCAAGCTCCAGCCCGGAACCACCCCGCTCCGGGGTCGGCTGTTCTCGCTCTCCCAGGCGGAGACCCGTGCTATGGACTCCTATATTAATGAGGCTCTCCAGAAGGGGTTCATCCGTCATTCCACATCTCCTGGGGCTGCGGGTTTTTTCTTTGTGAAAAAGAAGGAGGGGGACCTCAGGCCCTGTATCGATAACCGAGGGCTGAACAAGATAACCATACGGGATCGCCACCCTCTTCCTCTCATGAGCACCGCCTTGGACGCCACCTCCCAAGCCACACTATTCGCGAAACTGGACCTCCGCAGCGCTTATAATCTCATCCGCATAAAGGAGGGGGAGGAGTGGAAAACCGCATTCATAACACCGACCGGCCACTATGAATACCTCGTCATGCCTTTTGGCCTTTGCAACAGCCCTGCGGTCTTTCAACGCTTTATCACCGATGTCCTCAGGGACATGCTTGGTCGTTGGGTTTTTGTGTACTTGGACGACATCCTCATCTATTCCCGCAATGCTGAGGAACACACCCAGCATGTTCGGGCCGTTCTGTCGCGCCTCCTGGAGCACAGACTATTCTGCAAACTGGAGAAGTACGCCTTTCACCAGGAGTCCACCTCATTCCTGGGGTTCATCATCTCCTCCTGGGGCTTAGGGATGGACCCTCAGAAGGTGCAGGCAGTAGCACAGTGGCCACTACCCACAACCCTGAAACAGCTGCAGAGCTTCCTTGGGTTCTGTAACGTTTACCGCAGGTTCATCCGCAACTACAGTACCCTTGCGGCACCGTTAACCTCTTTAACCAAAACTACCAATCAGCCTCGCCCTTTCCGCCTGACCCCAGAGGCTATCACAGCTTTCCATGGGCTGGTCCGTCGCTTCGTGAGCGAACCCATCCTCCTCCACCCGGATCTTACCCAACCCTTCGTCGTGGAGGTGGACGCCTCCGAGATGGGAGCAGGAGCCATACTATCACAACGGGGTTCGGATTCCAAGCTCCACCCCTGCGCGTATTTTTCCCGGAAGTTCTCTCCTACACAGCAGAACTATGGGGTCGGGGACCAGGGAACTGCTGGCGATTAAGTGGGCCTTGGAGGAGTGGCGGCAATGGCTCCTAGGAATCACCGACCCGTTTCTAATCTGGACCGACCACCAGAACCTCATACATCTACAGACCGCCCGCCAACTCAACCCTCGTCAGGCCCGGTGGGCTCTTTTCTTCGAACCATATAACTTCCATATCACCTACCAACCCGGTTCCAAGAACCTCA